TGAATGTAATGCATTCGACTGGAATTCGAATTCGGCTCTCCGATTCCTCAATCCGAGCTGCTATCCATTCAGTCAGTTATGTGCCATGCGCGATACACGCTTAAGCGATCATGTATCTTTCGATACATGACTGACGAGGTAGATGTTTTTTTTCCCGCAGTAGGTTGCCATTTCTTTTTGCTGTAGACCAGTTGCCATCCAAGGCTATAGAACTCGGTCTGTCCTGCTATTTATCCATAGGTGGGAGGAGAAGAAGAGGATTCATACTTTTCCCAAGGGTATTAGCACGTAAGTGAATGTAATGGATTCAACTGGAATTCGAACTCGGTTCTCGGATTCTTTAATCCGAGCTGCTATGCGTTACACCACCATGCCTCCCTTATCACAGTAGCAATCTTATTCGTCATGATTTTCAACATATTTGTATTGTAAGATCATTCGCAATGATATATTAAGATAAAAATTAATTGCCATGCTTTCCGATACTAAAATATTTATCAATGCAATCACATAACTCATCTAACATTCGTAAACCCTGTATTTAATATGCCGGGTTACACAAACAGCTAGTTATTAATAAAACATATAACTTTCCATTAAATGTAATAAACTAATAAACAGTTGTCCTTAAGACAAATAATAAGCATATAGGAAGACCTCGACTGAATTGTCGCCTCTGACGATGTCCAGTTGCACGCTTCGAAACGTGTAAAAGACGCTGATAATCAGTCATTGTCAAGTGTGCCCAATAAACTGGAATATGGGTAAAGTTAGCATCATTAATCATTATATTGTCAAGCGGCATGAAGTGACAAATTTGAGGAATGCACGAGAACGAGGAACATCTTTGGAATTCATATATATATATATATATATATATATATATATATATATATATATATATATATATATAATTATTTATATGTTATATGCGCGGTACTTATTAGAAAGCGCTCAATATCAGAAATAGAGCTAACATATTTGGTTGGATTGATGTGAGTTTGTGACCCTGGGTTTCACAGAGAGAGAGAGACAGACAGACAGAGAGACAGATAGACAGAGATAGATATAGATAGATAGATAGATAGAGAGAGAGAGAGAGAGAGAGAGAGAGGGGGGGAGAGAGTTATACTGCCCAGTTTTTTAAAATGTTTCCACTTGACTTGCACAGCACCAGAAGCGACTCATTAAACTGCTGAAGACATCCATTGTCTATTCTAATCAATGGGTATATAAGACAAAAGGAAGCTGTTGGTAAACCTTTAACAAAAACTTACGGAAACACTAAATCTGCCAAATGAATAATCATGAAAAACAAAAGAAAACAGGAAAACAGTTAATAAAATAGGTAAAAGAGAAAAAAATGAAAATTATAAAAGGTAGACACCTAACTACGCAAAAACCTAAAGTGCTCAAGGTCTCTAAAATTAGGCAAAGACAGAGCAGTAACAATAACAAGCCAAACCAACACCCAGGGACTCAGATCTGACTCATTAGATTGATTTTCTCATTAAGCGATCCAAACCAATTTTTGTTGTCTGACAAAAAAAAAAAAAAAAAAAAAAAAAACAGGATTTGGATCTTCGATTTAAAGAATGCCACACTTATTAAAAGAGAAAGTAATTTACTTAGACGTAAAATTCTTGAGACTGCCGCTAGAGAATCTTACCAAAATATAAATCTGAGCGCTTGGAATATCCCTTTCCTAAAATAAATAATCCTTTTCTGAGTCAACGTATATGACTATAAATTTTTTTAAAAAAGGAATAGAAAATGGTTAAATTCTTTAATATCCTATTATTTAAAATATAAAAGGCATAAATTAATCTCAAACTAAAATTATATAAAAATAACATTTAAAAAAATGTCAATGACATGCATTAGACATTAAATTATATCAGTTAACATCTTCCATAATTTATCTTGACTTCTCAGTTAGGCTAGTGTATATTTACGTTTTTTTTGTTGTTTTTTTAAGGCAATTCACTCTAAACAAGGCGGGAGTGCCACTAGCACGCATGGGGTTACAGAGGATTGGGAACAAGAGCAAAGTGGCGTGCTTGAGGAAAGGATACAGAGAAGGGTTGGGAACAAGCTCAGGGTGTCAGATGTCGATTGATATTACACTTGAATATTTGAAGATTATAGCCATCGGGGAAGTAAGTAAGAGGAAGGAAGTTCCTCAGACGGGAAGCGCGAAAGAAGAAGCTGTTTGGGCAGAAGAGAGGGCTACATTTAACCGTTTTGACAATGAAAGGGTGGGACCGAGATGCCAGCCTGGTAGCTCGTTTAAATTCATCTAGTCCGGTAACCAGCGAAAGTAGCTCGTCGGAACAGTTGCCGTGAAAATATTTGTAGAAGAGACAGAGGAAGGCCACAGCGCGTCTGTGGGATAGAGATTGTAGACTAGATGCCAGATCAGGACCTATCCCATTGCATATTCGTCTCTGGATTTTGTCAAGGATCTCGAGACGTACAGCGGGAGCACCAGACCATATATCAAAACTAAAAATATTTTTTTACTTTTAAGCATAAATACTTAGAGTTGCCTTGATAAAGTCTATCAGCGGTCGAAATGCGTCGGTTAAGTTAAGGTTTTATTAGTAGAGTATAGCTGGCCACTCGTATTCGAGGATACCTATCTCCTAGGGCGGCTAGTCAATCCCTACTGCAGATGCTTGCTCAGGCGATTTGTGTTTATTCAACACCCACAGAGCCTATCTGTGATTCATACTGCAACTATGCTGAGCAGACCTTAGTTATAGTTTCTGGGAAAGAGCGTGTTATCTAGCGTGATCAACAATTTGAACAAGGCCAGCACGTTCAAACCATCGGCCACGATGACTTATGACTTCGGGCTAGCACAGATATCGACGGCCCCCAAGAGTTCCGTCTACCCATTTTCACTCACAAGGCTTGAGTCAACCCATGGTATGGTTTTCAGACAATTTCCAACGGTACCGCATGCTGGGATCAAACCCTCCAGTCTGATAACATCAGTAAGTTTCTGATGACAAATCGACCATGTTGAGATTCGAACCCGGGGCTCCTGATCAGAATGCGAACGTTCTAACCCCTCGGCCAGTTTTTATTATTACGCCTTAATTTTATGACTATTGTTTTTCTTACTTCGTATATGTATTCTCTATAAGTAATATTTCGGCTACTCTACTGTGACTCCTGTAATAGTTAGTCTGAAAACTGACTCCAAAACGACCATGCTACCCCATTTTGACGAGATGTGACACAAGGTCAGGTTTAACATGGGGAACCCGAACTCGTACGCTCGGGTCGCTAATCAAAAATTTATCCGTTACCTGCAATTTCGGGGAACCAGCACTTGTATGTTTTCCTTAGCCGAGTCGCTATCAGTAGACATCATCATCATCTTGCGGCCTCAGACGAGATTGAACTCACTACACCTCTCCAGTATTCCCTGTCATAGCACCTAAAAGATCTTCCTTAGGGATCAATGTGTCACGTTTTATCCTATCTGGAAAGGTTAACTTGCGTGATCGATTGACAGATGATGGGTGCCTCCAGAGTACAAATGATGACACAAGTTCATCTGTGGCACGTACACAATGCCCGGCGAACTGGACACGTCTTTTGCAAACTAAGGTTGATACTCTCGGCAAGTCTCCATATATCATTTCTAGAGTTGGGTGGTTTCGCCATTAGAGATTAAGCACTCTTCTTAAAAGACGTGTATAACATCCATCTAAACGACGCTGTTGTTTTTCTGAGAGAGTCCAAGTTTCAGAGCCATAGAGTAAGATTGGCTCAATAAGGACGCGGAAAAGTTGGATTTTGAATTGACGAGCAAGATTGGATTTCCAGATCTTATCCATTTTGTTACAAGCAGTCCATGCTATGCCTTTTCTAATGTTGAAGTCTTTCTCAGAGTTCTTGATGTGTGATCCTAGATACTTGTAGTCTTCGACACATTTGACGATGTTATCTGAGAGTGTTTTGATCTCATGATTGTTGCGAATGTTAATTGGCATACACTCAGTTTTAGTTTCATTTAAGTGTAAACCTGCACAGTTGCAGTAGACAGAACCTCGACTGAGTCGCCTTCTGCTCGAAGACAGAGATCATGTCAGTCGCGAGGCGGACAGCGAAATTCCTGTCTCGAAACTTCGAGGTATTTACCGATGCCATGTAAATTACATATGATACACAAATTGTATTGCGTGAATGTTTGGTTTAGATTATTTCATTTAATTGGACGAAATCTGCAACAAACTAAATACAAAATAGCCAGTACTTTCTTCATATGATTCGATCCTAAATTGGCATTCGAACAACCTTTGATGCAAAGATTGTTTGAGAAGGATTATTGAAGCGTTAAAGTGGAAACTTCCCGAGGAACTTCTTATTAACCCCAGCTTTACAGTAAACGTGCGAAGAAGGAGGGGGGCGTCCATGCTTTTTGCACTTGCAGTTGAATCAAGCTCGGACGCTTTATCCCTGTTTTTGCTTGATTATTAGATTTGTGAACAATGCCATACTATTTGAAAGTTATTACGGCCATAGGAAATTTACTGAATATCTAAAACATTGAAACAATTTAATCCCGAGCAATGACAACACAAGAAGATTTTATCGATGGGATTCCTTTATTACTGTACTACTGTACTGACTACAACTACTGTACTGATGCGGCATTCACCCTGGGCGGATTGAGCCGGCTTCTTCCTGTTATGAGAAGAAGATTCTTGGGATAAATTATAGAAGTAGGGTACCCAAGCCTACTCGGATAACGTTCTTGCTTGCCGCGGGGTTCCCACAGACGCAGAGACAGGAACGACCAGAAGCCGCCGGTTACCGATGCAGACGCTCCTTGGATTTTCACAGAGCCCTTGTTAGCCGGCGTGTGTCAGACCTGTCCGCCTTGGGTGGCCCTACCAGGAACGAAGTTCCGGGCGGCATAACTCTGACACTACCGTTTACACCCCCCCACCGACTGTGAGGTAAGGGTTGGACTTTGGGGGTTTTACAGTACCAGGTGTTCCCAAGCGGTCCCCCATCCAAGTACTGACCTGGCTCTACGATGCTTAACTTCGGTGATCGTACGAGAACCTGTGTTTCAAAAATGATTTGACCGTAATTCCTTTATTAAGACACAATCAAACATTTGCGAAGAACATAGCGTAAAAAAAGATGAGTGGGGGAAAAATTTAGCATACCAACGGATGATGTATATTCAGCCAGGACATAGACAGACATTTTTTTGACAGGAGGTGCGGGTATACAGGAAGTTGCGTTTATACAATTGCAGCCATGTACATCCGGGTACCTCGTATATATATATATATATATATATATATATATATATATATATATATATATATATATATATGAAGAAATATAGTCTTAAGATGTGCTATATTTATGGGATAAAGTGCTCAATATCAAAGATAGAGCGTGTGTAAATATAAAAGTGAACATAGAAGTCAACACTTAGAGGCGACAGTCTGTTTCATGTTAGACGCAATCGTCAGGTCACAAGTGCTGTTATAATAGTGCATATGCACCACTGACCCGTATATATATATAAATAGCCGAGAAAAATAACAGCACCCGTGGCCTGACGATTGCATATAGCATGAAACAAACTGTCGCCTCTAAGTGTTGACTTATGTTCACACTTTATATATATATATATATATATATATATATATATATATATATATGTCAGAATCCAGGCAAACATTTTTATACGGGAGAATATGATATATACGTTTTCATGTTAATATATATATATATATATATATATATATATATATTGAATCAGGTATACATAAATATCCGAGCATATTCTGACAACTTCCAACTACTCCGAATCAGTAATTGGTCACTCGTGGTCGACCAGTAGAGGAAGTTTTACGTGTTCATGTTGGCGGAAAATTAGTGAAAGGAATCTGTAGCAACAGACTGATATAAAACATTTGTTGTTAAGCTCAGTAAAAGTGTCCATGAGATGTCAAGCCTATTATTAAAATGGCTGATCTTGAATAGACCATGAAGAAATGATTTTACCGCAATAAAATAGGATAACGTACATATTCTATCATTATTAAGTATAGACATTTAAATTTTCGTTTAAAATAATCACATTACGGCTTTTTTTATTATTGTTGGCATATTTGAATTGGCATTATCACTACTGCTGCACTCTAGGGTCATTACTAAATAAACAATAACAATTATTTTGGGGTCTGGGAACGCTCAAACATTTTCTTCGTATAAATTAATAGTGATTTTTTTTTCGATTTACTTCATTTTTGTTTACGGTACTTTCCAGAGGTGAAGCCTGTATTTGTAATATTTCTTGATTAAAGGTTACCTCAATATGATAAGATAAAGAACAAATAGGAAATGTTTATCAATCTAACATGTTTCACTTTTATTAAAGCTTCATCAGAGAATGAAATCTGGAGAAAAAGAAGAAATTCTGGCAGTTTTACGTTTGTGTTTCATTGATCAATCTTGTTTCGTGCGCATTCAACTCTTTAAACCAACATTAGTCTTAGGTTGGTGCAAAAATAATGACGTAATAATGTCGTTTTTTGACGTACTTTTCTACGTCAAAAAACCTAATATAATTCGTGACGTTCCGAATTCAAGGAAAGACGACGCGTCCATCCGATGTTTCAAGAAATTAAAGCCTAACCGAGAAATCGTAAATAGTGCTGTATGGATGTAGATATATAACAATTCTAGTTTGTCTATGTGCGCATCAGATGTTAATGTATATTCGTAAGTCTATGTGCATGTGTACATATCTAGTAGACATTATGTTTGTTGGTTTTTTGCAAGTTGATTTGGGATTGTTTTTATATACATACCGTTTGTTTTATATAAACATACGTTAGATTCTTTAAGAATGGGTTCAATAAAAGTTGGTGACGTGCGTTTATAGTTGGTAATATTGTTATTATTAGTCTCTCGATGTATTGGGTTGGTGCATAATTATCAGGCGTTTTTGTAGGCGAGTTATTTGTTAATAAAAGTTGCTGTTTTGTTTACTTTTTTTAAATAAAAATATTTTATTTTCAGGTTATAAAAATGCGTGTCGATAATCATGCTCATTTAAAAATGTTGTTGTTGAATTATATTTCTTTTTTCATGATTGTTTAAAAACGCCTGATAATTACGCACCAATCCAATACTTCGTAAAGAATCATTTTATTAAATTAGGGTAGTATTGGTAAAATCGAATACAAAATAATCAATAAATGTCTAATTATATGTTCGGTTTCGAACAGCCGATACTTTTTGTAATGGAGGAATGAGAGTGATTCAACCATGTGGACGTAGCAAGACGGGTCTTAGTTGTAAAGTCTGGATTAGTGAAAAGAGAAAGTGAGAGGAACTGAAGATTAAAATTCGTGACGTTCTGAATTCAAGGAAAGACGACGCGTCCATCCGAAGTTTTAAAAAATTAAAGCCTAACCGAGAAACCGTAAATATTGCTGTATGTATGTAGATATATAACAATTCTAGCTTGTCTATGTGTGCATTAGATGTTAATGTATATTTGTAAGTCTATGTGTACATATCTAGTAGACATTATGTTTGCTGGGTTCTCGCATGCTGATTTGGGATCTTTTTTGCGTACATACCATGTATTTCAGATAAACATACGTTAGATTCTTTAAGAATAGATTCAATAAAGGTTGATGTAATATAATGCTTTCGACGTGTTTATATAGTTAGTAATATTATCATTAGTAGTACCTCGAAACACTTCGTATTATTTATTAATTAGGGTGACATTAATAAAATCAAAGTTTTGTCCATTTTTTTCCTGTGTGTTACGAAAGAGTTAGTATCAAATTTAGATATCAGAGGTAATTTTCATATCAAATTACTTTGTTAGCTGTAATTATTGTGAATGTGTTTTTAGAAATACATTTTAAATGACATTCTTTTTCGATTGTATTATCAATGATATGAGACTTTTCATGTCGCCTTTATACATTTTTTTTTTAATAATAGAGACCTAACACAACATATCGTAAAATCTTGTAAAATGCATCAATTTGTAATTCATGCTATAAAGTTTGCCTTTTTAAATTCGTGTTAGACATTTTTTCTTTCTTTTAAATCTCAATTCTTTCTTTTTTTTTCCCGTTACATAATCGATTCTTTGAAATGTACGCAAATAATCTGTCTGGATTCTTTGTCGACTGCCTCATTCATTTTCTGTAGTTTAATCTCCCGCCTAAATCATATCGTCAACGCCATCTTTTTTGTTTCTTTTCTGTTATTCATTTTTTTCCAGCTTTCATTCCAATCGACATTCCATCACCTTCGTTATTCACTCTAGTTTTTTTTTTTTTTACTTTTTTGTATAACGCCACATTTGCTGATTAACTAAGATTAATGTCGCTATCCATTCTACTGTTACGTAGCTATGCGATAATACAAATTATGTTGTAAGGTATAAAATGGCTCTTAAGCAGGTTCAGAAATGATTGCGGTCAGTCTTATATGTTTGTTAAATAAAGATTATACTGAGGTCGGTATGGTCAACGCTGAACATTTAATGGGTGAGGGGGGAACCTGTCCGCACGTGCATAGAAAATGAATCAAGTGCACAAAAAATAGGAACAAGCGTACGGCAATGGCGCCACTTCTCACCAGACTTGTTTAACCTTTACACCGAGATGATCTTAAGGAATAGATGGAGGTTCAGCCAGAATTTATTATTAAGCGCAACATGATATTGCGTTTTTTTCTTTTTGTTTTTATTAATGATCACCCAATACAAGGCCCAGGAGCCACTTAAAGTAGAGGGTTACTGTGCGAAGTTGTGTAAGATTAGTGTAAGAAGGGACAAGCATTAGGAATACACAGATGAAACAGACTTTAGAAGGACCCGGAAACACAGTTCTAAACAGGAAACAAGAGATATACCCCTACACCTTTTCGAAAGACCTGGGAGGAGTGTGAACCAGACGAAAGGCGAACGTATCTACTCCTATTGTTGGACGAGTGAAAAGAACAACACTAATTAAGACATGCGTGTTCGTCAACTTTAAACAATAATCTTTGTCAATTTTATTTTTCAGTCATTATGATGGTCGATACTTAATCTATATCTTACTGTTCAGGAGGTTTTGCGGAGCGTGGAACCACCTCTTAATTGCTGGTGTTCGCAGGTCTACCTGATCCGGAGTGGTAGCACCTGTTAGGGTCCCAGCTATGGGTAAATAGTTACCCACCCCAAACTGGGGCCAAAACACTATAAAAGTGTAAAAATAGGTTTTAATACCAGCAATACTTTTTTTGTAAAATATTGTTACTAAGAATACATTTTTGACAAAAAAATATTACCAGCAATAAAAATCTTGTCAGCATTAAATAACCCATTGAGGTTGATATGCCGTAAAACTAAACAAACCAAACCAAACTAAAACGACCAGGTGTGGCAGCAATATTCGATGCACATATGAATACTAGACTTATAGATGTGCAAGATAGATTCTGGCGAGAAGAAATTGTCCAGCACAACATAGTGAACTGACTTTTCCTGCGGCCGAGTTAGACATTTTTTTAAATTTTAACTTCGTAGCTTCAATCAGCTAGTCCACCATATTTGAATCTTCGTTTTCACTGACTGAACGTCATTGTCAGTGTATGAATCATGGCAACAATTAATAACAAATCATTACTACCGTGAGCGTCAAAATGACATTGGTGAAGTATGTCATTAGTCACAGGAGTGTAGGGGGGGGATAAAATGAAGACAGAGAGCATATTTCAAGAAGGGAAAGTTATGTAATTAATGTCAACGGCAAAAACAACTCTGTGATTGACACAACCACTGCGATTACGAGTATCAACGTCAAAAATGACCACAAAGTTAAGAACAGACGACAATTAATTAGCACCTCAGTCAATTCGATGGCCATTATTGTGACCACAACCATCAGCAATACCAAAAATACCCAAAAGAAATTTCTTATCTCCCCCAACCACGGAAATGAAGACCGCCACTCATCACAACAACCGCCGCCATCACCAGCAACGACTCTGTGATTATCTTCACAAAGTCTCAGCCTCTACCACCACCAAATCCACCGCCACCACCGCCACCA